GACGCCGTGATAACCCGAAATTTTTCCAAGAATAATATTTTTTTTTAAAACCTAAACAAGCGTACACCTAAGACAATTAGACTTAGTTAAAATTATAATAAAATTAACTTTAATTTGGTGCTTTCATAAATCTGAATCTATGAAAATTATGCACCGTAACGCGCCTATGCAATTAACAATTGTAAAATTGTCTATGGGTTTAACAACAACGCCATGAGTCCTTAATTTTTGCAACAGATGTGAGCTTCACGCTCCAGTCGCCTTATCCCTGATAGCTGGTTAACCTGGTGTTGTACATCGTTTTGCAAATAAAATAAAATTACACACTCGTTCCCCATTAAATACAAAAAGCGGAATAAAAATTTTGAAACACGCTGAACCAGCAAAGGCCTGCAGGGACAATGTAGCAGTCTCTCTAAACTCAAGACAAGAAGACTTGATTCGAGGGTTGCGAGCCTTAAAAGCGAATACAACCACATCTAAAGCATAAGATCTGGGGTGGATAAAATATTAGGAATGATTTCGCTGCTACCATCCTGATAATGTCCGCCTTCAACTGGAAAGCGACATGACAAACATCAAACACGCGTCACAGCAATTGTCGAAACTCAGAAAGTCTGATAAACAAGATCTGGAATGTGTAAACTCACAACGCAGATATTACCAGTGAGACATAAGTCAGGGAACTGAAGGTAGTGTCATTATATATTGCATATCGACACGAAATACTTTTTTGTTAAAATACGAGGAAGGGGGCTAGAATTGGTGGAAAAAAAGTACCATTCCAGATCAGAAGATGCAAACCTAACCTAACCTAACCTAACCTAACCTAACCTAGCCTAGCCTAACCTAACACACATCCTTAAGAAGTGAATAGATATCGAACACATTACAATTAACACATATCAAAGGAAAACCATGCTAACACTTGCTGCAACCCCTGAAATCCAAATTGCGTATCCCTTTACAAGAACAGAGTTATTTAGCATCGCCAGGAAACAAAAACAAATGACGAGCCAGCAAAGGAATTTTCGAGACATCGATGCGACACAACCACAAAGAGTCACCTCAGGAACAGATGAGGACAATCCGAAAATACGCACTATTAAATTAGCAACAATTATGCTTCGCCTTTCAAACTGATCAGAGCACACTCACAACGGAGCCGTGGTCCACGCAGCGAAAGGGGTGAGCGGGGGGAAGACATCAACGCAACCCCTCTCTTAAGAAATAAATAAAAAGTGGTTAGCACTGGTGCTTCGTACTCTGGGTATCCGTGGTTAAAATCTCTAACCTGGTTAAGATTTTTCATGATTTCTCCCAGTCTGTCCACGCGAACGCACAGAATAGTGTCGTAACTAGCCCTAGCGATTCCTTTGCTACTAAAAGCGTCGTTAAATAAGCAACAAACAGCAAGACAGAAAGAGAATCGCTTAGAATTGGGTTAGCTAAGTGATCAGGCTCTGGGTTCAATCCAGCCTCGTACACATTTGTTACTAGAGGCTGTTTCTCGGTGATAAACCGGCCGGAGCGTAAATCTGACTACTCCCATCTACTGCCACGTGAAGCCTTACACCCATCCCTCCACACGCCTTCATCTCGTGATAGTTAATTAAAATTCTTGCTACGACACGACTAGTAACAAGAAAGTGAACCCCATGGCGTCTGCTCACATTAAAGTGCTAGCCTTTGGAACGAATTCATTAGTTCGCATTTCACCATACCCGTCCGTCCGTCCAGTCTTGCACTTCGGTTATATAATTAAATTGTGGTTAACACCAGGGCTGTGGAGTCGGTACAGAAACCTCCGACTCCTTCATAAAAGCTCAATATGTATTAATAATGGTAAAAATACTAAAATGGTAAATGGCACCATAAGAGAATTCATCACCACCACGTGAATCATCATCCTACTTTTTAGATTTATAACTTATATTTAAATATAAGTCTAATGTTTATTGTAGAAATCGGTTGATTTGTAGAAATTTTGTATTCTTAAGGTTGTTTGTTTGTTTGTCACCAGTCTTTCAGAT